GTGTGTGTGTGTGTGTGTGTGTGTGTGTGTGTGTGTGTGTGTGTGTGTGTGTGTGTGTGTGTGTGTGTGTGTGTGTGTGTGTGTACACTTTACACACAAAGGTCCTATTCAGGAAGGCATCTCTATTCAGGAAAGGTGATGAAGTAATTACAAGTTTAAGCATGTGCTTAAGTCCCATTGAAGTCAGTGGGATGTAAGCACATACACCTCTACCCCGATATAACGCGACCCGATATAACATGAATTCGGATATAACGCAGTAAAGTAGCGCTCGGGGGGGGTGGGGCTGCGCACTCCGGCCGATCAAAGCAAGTTTGATGTAACGCGGTTTCACCTATAACGCAGTAAGATTTTTTGGCTCCCAAGGACAGCGTTATATCGGGGTAGAGGTGTATTTAAGAGCTTTTCTGAATTGGGGCCACAGTAAAGCACTATTTCACTTATTCATTTATTCTAAATACAGTCCTGTGAGTAGTCAACTCTCTTAGGACCAAATTCAGCTCTAGATTCACACATGCAATTGCAGCTGGATTAAATGGCTCTCCAATTAATGTGAGTTAAATGCAAGCATCCACAGATAGAATTTGGTCCTTCAGGTACATGAGAAGAGAACAGTTTTCTAGACTAGCAGAGTTCATTAGTAGCTTCAGCTAATAATTGACTTTTAATGGAAGTTGTCAATGATATTAAAAGCAATGTTATCATTTGAATAGATTCTAATCAGGAATATTCTTTACCATTTATTTGTCCAGTTGGTGTCTGACATATTTATTTTGCATTTTAGTAAAAAGAGAAACAAGCTCAAACCAAAAACCTGGATTCAAACACTCTGGGAACTTTCTGGATGGGGATGAATTGAATCTGAACTCAGAACTAGATGCAAACTCTATGTTTGTATAATGGACTGAACCCAAATGCAGGATCAGAACACCCCGAAGCTTGGTCTAGTCCAAAATCTAGCAGTTTGGGCCCAATTGCTAGTGAAAAATGAATTTCAGCCACAAATGGAACCACTTACTCTATATGATCTTTCTGCTCCTATTTTCCCTCTTGGGCTCACATTCTTCTCTTGTATATTTGAGGGAGTGATTTGTAATATCTCCTCGCACCCAGAACACTGACTCAGTCACATGTCAAACTGCTGGCACACAAGAAGAATGCCTAACTGTCACACTGCGTTCTTCTTCCCCGGCTAATCCTTAACAGGTCATGTGTGCCTCTCCTGCTGTGCTCCTGTGACACTACCAAGGGTATCATCTAGGCCAATGAACAGTTGTGTCCTCTCAGTTATCCAACGTGGGGTGCCTTTTACACTGCTTGCTGTGAGAGCAACCACTCCTGGTCAGCTCACACACAGCCTACAGCATGTAAATTACTCCCAGTTATATTGTATGAATGCTATAACTAGCCACCCTTGGATTACACTGCAGAGCAACACCAGCAAATCCCCAGCTCCTGACTTTCCCCCAGAAATGTGTGTCTTGTAGTGCCCCGCCCTCTCCTGGACAATACAAGCTCATATAAAGTCCATCATTTTACTAATAGAAAATGATATGTACAAATCCTGTCTTCCCAAGTGAAGTTTCCCAAACACTTCTATCCAAACACACTGGTTTAGATAAAACAAGCTTATTAACTACAGAAGGATAGATTTTAAGTGACTATAAGTAATGAGGAATAAGAGGTAAGTAATTTGCTTACAAGAAAATAAAAGTAAAACACAACTAATGCCTAACTTAAGCTAAGTGAATTCAAAGCAAAGGTGTCTCTCATCACATGTTTCAGCAGTCTTACTGGCTGAATTTTTTCAGTCAGGATCCCTCCCCCAGTCCAATGCTGCTTCCTTTGTTCTTCAAGTATTGTCAATACCATGAGTAGAGAGAAAGGGAGAGAGAATTTGGGGCATCTGATCTCCCTTTCTGAAGAGGAGAAAGAACTATGAGAATCATCTCCAGCTGAGGTTCAGGAGACTGAATGTCTGTGTGGACGGGAACCCTAAAATGTTTCTTAGTAATATAATACAGTAGAATTTTATAATGTTACGTAAAATGTTGCCACACACATTTTACCAGGACTTTGCACATTTGTCAGAATCCTGTAAAAGGGCTGAACATAAGGGTACAAATGGTCACAGCTCTCATTTGTGATTCCAGCACTGCAGCCAGCAGCAACCAGGTGGGAGGCACCCCCCTACACCACCTCTCTTTCCTATCCCCGGTTCCCTTAGCTGGTTCACAATACAACCTGACACGGAAGGTCAATATTGCCAGAGAAGGGCTGTCACTTGCCCCCACCCCCCATCTTCTTCCTAAATCATCATTCCTTTCAGGTTGTTTAACAGCAGTGAGCTGCAATCAGCTATGAGACATACTGCTTTCTGTTTCACTGGCTGGGGCAAGGCAAACCCTGTCTCTATCCTAACAATCCATTGTTGATCCGCCCCTAACTGGGAGGCTAACTCCTTACCCTGCAGGGCTATGGACTCACTGATTTGCCAGGCTTTTTCCATCTCCTAGGAGAGATGGGTCTAAGGTGACCAGATGTCTTGATTTTATAGGGACAGTCCCGATATTCAGGGCTTTTTATCGTATAGGTGCCTATTACTCCCCACCCTGTCCCAATTTTTCACATTTGCTATTTGGTCACCCTAGATGGGTCTGAACCAGAACATTGAATCTGAACACTCCAAAATTTGGGAAAGTTCAAATCACTAGTCAAACCTGATGGCTTGAATCTCTGCCTGTAACAGACTGCACTGCAAACTCAAACTTACTCCCAAACTTCTATTTAATTAGCATGACTCCATGAGATTGGTTAAACAGACCTTGTGACACTGAGGGAAGCTCAAATATTTGCCAGTGGGTGCCAAGCCAGCTGCAGCTGGTTAAACTGATGACAGAATTACTCTCTAGAGTCAAGACATTTTACACCAACTGAGAATCAGGCCCAGGGAGAAGAGACAAAACAATGGTTGAGCTTCTGAAGCAAAAAAAAAAAATCCCACCACCTTGTGTAACTGAACATGTCACAGTCTGACTTGCTGTGTTATGGATACCCAACGTCTCATTTTCTTTCACTCTTCTCTTTAAGTGCAGCGTTGGCTTCAGAGCTAGGAGAAATCTTGTGGAATAGAGGGAGCTTGCTTTTTTTCTTGGTTTCTCCCCACAAGCTCATCCAGCTCCACTCTTAACAAATGGTAGTATACCACAACATTTTTTTTTGCCTTTGATGCTAAGCATGATTTACAGGCCTGAGTTATTATTTATCATTATTCATTTTCTGTCACCAGTGCATTGAAGGTTAATAGAAATGCCAGCATACTCACTGATTTACTTAGTAAAATATTTATTCCAAGGTTTAGGTCAGATGATTGGTGTCTGAGAGAGCTTCAGGTTTATGCATTATGAAAAGCAAGCTGACTTGACCTTGAGCCACCAATACTAGCACTATATATTACTTCAGTGGAATGACCTTCAGAGACCTAAGACACACTAGATGTATTCAACACATGTTTTTTAATTCCATACTGCTGACATTGTACACATACCAGCTGAACTTTTGCAATGTAAACCAACACTCACTATTCATCTGATGAATTTGTGCAGGGTGATACGTTAAATTGAGAGCCTCACCTCAGAGGTAACAAACTCTCTTTGGATCCCAGAACCCTAGCATATACCTTAGGACACAGTGGTCACACAGCTTCCTGTGAGCCAACCTATGTAGCAGACAGAGGGCCTGGTTCTGAAACTTACCATTACTGGCATAAATTAGGAGTAGCTCCAATGAAGTTCAATAAATTAAGTGAGAGGAGGAGAAGACCCATATGAATTTTGGAATAAGTTGCTCACAGACCATTTTAGTTGGACTGTCCAGGGCCAGAATATTCAAATCAGTGGGATTACACATGGAATAAAGTATTGCTCAACATGGAGTAAGAGTGGCATGATTTAGCCCTTAATGCTTCCCTCTACTTTCTGTCTAAAGGCACACTGAGTCTGACATGAGATTTTCAAAGAAAAATAAGTCAAGGAGAAATTTGTATCCTTAGATTTGCACATTGATCTTCAAGTTCCTGTGCAATTTCATAAATGTGCCCTCCTCCAATTACTATTCTCTCCCATACTAAGCATGTAATCATCTTCATAAGGTTCCATTTTACCTATTTGTTCAACCAAACAATGGCTATTGCAAAAAAGATAAAAAATACTGGTTACTATTAAGCAATCACCTAAACACTTAGCTTATGTTTACACTGCAAAAAAGGAGTATTCTTAACTCAGGTTAACTAACTTGTGTAGGTTAATTTGGGTTAAAATAGTCATGAAGACATGGCAACTCTGCTTTTAACTCCTGTCAGCAGCTCAAGTTTAGGTCTATAGAGCCTCCTGGGTTTGAACTGCTAACCCAAGTTAAAAACTATTTTAATCCAAGTTAGGCAATCCCAGTTAGCTAACCTGAGATAAGAACACCTCTAGTTTTACAGAGTAGACCTACCCTAAAACTA